CCTGCTCGGCAGGGCAGATCGGCTCGCACTGAATGAGGCGCGACCGACCGTCACTGCCGCCGCTACAGCGTCTGGGTCGCTGGGCCGTCGAACGCAAGGCCTGCACGAGACGGAGCGGGCAGCCGGTCGGTCGGACAGGCCAGACTTAGGCTTAGGCTTGAGGCGGCAGAGATCGATGCTGGCCTGTCCTGCCCCAGACGGCCAGTCCTCGTGCAGACGGGCTCAGAGGCCTAAAATTCACTTTGCCTCATCCCGTACATTCCCGTTTGTGTCTACTCGTCTCTTTGTCTGTCGTGTGTGTGTGTGTGTGTGTGTGTGGTGTATTGAAGAGGGGATTGAGAACGGACATTTGCTTAGTCTCAACCAGAAATGGAATGACATTAGGCCGATCGATCAGCAAAGGATACCTCAAACGAGACACACAGACAGACAGAGGAACGTAGGGAATCCACGACAGTGAGAAAGGGCAATCTGAGTGACGAAGTTGAAGAGGAAAGGGTTGGAAGCAGTCCTCCAGTCATTCGTCCACTCGGCCAGCCAACCAGCCAACCGGCCTGCCTTAGAGAACGGCTCGACGACCTCAGACGCTCTTGTCGTCATGCCAGACAGGCCTCTCCAGCACACCCACACACCCACACACCTCAGCCTTGGGCACAGTTCGCCGCCTCTGCTCTTCCCGCTTGCAGACTCGCTCTGTCCACCTGTCCGTCTGCCCGGCGCTGGTCTCCGCCTCACCCGATAAACACGCACACCGACACACACACACACACATTGAGTCACCCGCGCGAGAGAAGGCCAATCACGGCGAGGGGTCAATTTGCTCTGCCGCCCTTTTTGGCGCCCAACGCGAACTCGTGCTCGAATAAATCGACGATGCTACTCATTTCCCATATGAGTAGTTTAGCGACTAGCGGAAAAGCTCGAATAAGTGTGAAAATAATAATAAAACGTAACCTCACCGATTGGGACGGCAAAAAGTGTGATTGGTGTGAGGCCTGTCTCGCCTCGGTGGTCGCAGCTGCCGTTTCATCCACTGGCACCGGTTGCCGCCGTCAAAGCGGAATGATTGGTGCAGGAATTGCAAGTTCGATCGCACCAGAAGACGACCACCAGCGGAACATTCTTGTTGACGCTGTTTCCGAGGCAATCTCCTTCGATTCACGTGAAAAATGGCCAGCTTTTCATCCGCCAAATGTACCGACGGTACCATTTTGACGACCATATTCAAGAGAAAGACTTGACAGCTAAAAAGGTGGTTATAAAAAGGATACTCTGATGAATTAGCTTGAATATGGTGGTAAAGATGATACGATGCGACGGACGAAAACTCGGCAAATTTTCACCGTAATCGAAGGGGACTGCCTCGGAAACAGCGTTTTCAAGAATATTCCAGAATATTGCAGTAAAGCCAATCAAAAGAAATCCGCCGTCATCTTCCGGTGGACACGACCTTGGAACCTCTGAGACCAACATATTCGCTCGAAATGGCCAACCAAACGTCTACTTTTTTCGTTTGTAACTAGGTTCTCAAGACTACCAATAAATCAGTCCTATGAGATGTATCCACCCTATTTCGATCAAGGCGATGAAGGGATGTTGGTTGCATTTTTGCCACAATGCTATGAGTAGACTTTTCGTTTCCGTTGAATTTCATATGAACTTGATTCCCTGATTGAGCGTACATTTTGGGCAGCAAGACTATGCGAAATTCTACAGAAAAACGTAAGGTCCACTCATTCGGATGGGGAAGCAACCAACTGCCAGTCCTTCGTCAACTTAAACGAAATTGCCCGAATGCACCTAATCTAAATTGCCTACTGCCTGGTTGAAAAGCTCAAAAGTTGCCTTTTCAATGTGAGATCAGGTTGTGGAGAAAGCCCGACAGTTTGTGAATGGTGCGGAAAAGTAGATACCGCCAGAGAGGCATAGAAACGGTGACATCGACGCACAGCTGCACGACCGCCAGCAGCCAACGGATAACTGAAGGTATACGAAGAAAAGTTGGGTTTCGAGGAATCTCTTGTTTCATAATTGTTGGG